ACAAACAGACACACACACACACACAAACAGACACACACACACACACACACACACAAACAGACACACACACACACACATACACAAACAGACACACACACACACACACAAACAGACACACACACACACACACACACACAAACAGACAAACACACACACAGACACACACACACACACACACACACAAACAGACACACACACACACACACACAAACAGACAGACAGACAGACAGACAGACAGACAGACAGACACACACACACACACACACACACACACACACACACACACACACACACACACACACACACATTGTTTTTTAAGCAAATGTACCTGAATTTTTCTGTAAAGAGCACCCAAGTTCTCATCATCAAAGGGAAGAAAACCACAGAGTAGCGCATACAACAGGACCCCCATACTCCAAATATCTGCCTCAGAACCTGTAACAAGAATAGGGATATTGATGTACACTCCCAAATTGTAGATCAGTTTCCAAACACTTATATCAACTTATGGCAATTTACATACACAAAAAATAAATAAAGCATGTGAATAACATACAAAGTTATCACACAAAGGTATTTTCAGCAAGTTTACAACACAAAAAAAGCCTTTTTAAAGCAGGGAATATATAACAATACATAATTTCTTAGGGTCAGCTTAGCCTTTAGCAAGAACAACTTCATACCAAGGTACTGGTGGCCTGATACTAGCTCTGGTGCCGCATAAGCAGGGGAGCCACAGCAGGTTGCCAGTCTCTGGTCCATGCCACCGGCAGGATTGGCACACAAACCAAAGTCAATGAGTTTTAATTGCTGGTCATCATCTAGCAATAGGTTTTCCTACAAGAAAAGGGTTTAGATACAGTGAGCTTAGGTACTTATGCATATCAAAAGAATAAATTTTTGGTGTATAACAATTCACAAAATCTAGTACAGTGTTACTTCCTCAATTCAAAATCATTAGTTTTAGATAATAAAGCATTTAGTCTTTGAATCATATGCTGATTATGTATCATATGATGAAATAAGACCAGGTATTGCCCTAATCTAGCTTTGGTAATGAGAAACCCAACATTGTAAAATAAGAACACACTGTTTCTATTCACATAACTAAAGGCCTATATTTTAAGCACAAAAGAAAGCACAATTTCTATAGACTACTTACTGGCTTCAGATCTCTGTGTGCATACCCCATGCTGTGAATGTAAGCAACAGCTGATGCAATTTGTCTGAAAAATAGCCTAGCCTCATCCTCCTCTAGTCTGTCTCTCTCCACTGCAATAAAAGCAAAAGTAAATGAGAGATACATTACCCAAGGGGATAGACAAAAACCATAACTGGTTAATTCCCAGTGACAACCAAACCAAATACTGCAAATGTAAGGCATAAATCTCAGTATCAAAATACTTACACCCTTGGCACTTACCTATGTAATCAAAGAGCTCTCCACCTGGACAGTATTCTAGCACCATAAATATTTTTGTCTCTGTTTCTAATACCTGGTAAAGCTTACACACGTGCTGGTGGCTCAGCTGTTTCATGGCTTCGATCTCCAGGTAAATGCGAGGGAGATCATCCTGTAAAGGGAATAGTTTGCTAAGACTAGGATCATTACCTAAGGGAAGCTTTAGCTTTGCACAGACTGTGACTAGCAACTCATTATAATCAAAGGTACTATAAGAAGAGAGATATACACTGCATGATATATAGAACAAGATAAAAACAAATTCATACACCTACTACATTCTATAATTCATTAATGCTAATAAGTGTACCCATTAAAAGGGACTCAACCTTAATACATGAGAACACCAAACAAACCATAAAAATTCCACACCCTAAACTTCCTTCACCTCCTCCTCCTCCTCCTCACACTCACACCCATTCATCCCACAACAAAGAAACAGAACAAGACCGCAAAAGAACAACACAACCACCCGTACCCCAAGCTGCCGTTTGTCCATGATCTTGACGGCCACCTTCTCGCCGCTGAGGATGTGCGTCGCCACCTTCACCTTGGCAAACCCTCCCGAGCCTATGGTCTCGTGGAGCTCGTACTGCCCCTCCAGGATCGCGTAGGGGGAGACCTGTTGAGGCATGGCTGTCTGTTTTTTTGTATTTTTTGTTAGGTTTTCAGAAGTCTCGCCCCCTCTCTGTTACTCGTCCTTGGAACCTGAAGTCCCTTGTCCTGCCGGGAATTTCCTTCAAGGGCGCTCGTTTGATTTTGGTCCTGGAGAGAGAGAAAGATAAAGTGAGACATATATATTAATCACATCGATAGAACACTTACAAAAAGGATTTATATATTTCAAAAAGCTCTCCTGTTAATAGAGTAATTCCACCTCAATCAATAAAACTTGTACATCAACAAAATCATACATTCCTTAAAAGACAAACACTAGAGAAACCTACAAAACATCAATTTAAAACAGCAGAAACCCACAATTAAAATACTCCTGCCCTTAGCAACCCACACATCATATCAAATTAACACCTATCGAAC